CTCTCAGACCCTGGCTGAGCAGGACAGCGGCTGCCAGCCCCGGGCTCCTCCAGATGAGGTGTCCTTTGTTCCATTTGAGTTTTGGCCCCATGGGTTTCTTTTCTCCATCATCATGGAGATCCCCTTGGTTTATCTGGACAGTTTCCTTATTAATCCTGAACTGAGGGCAAAATGCTGTATCAGACCAGTGATTTTCAACCCGTGTGCCCCAAGAATTTTTCAAACATGCCATACCCGACTGTTTAGGCAGGGGCACTGGCTTCTTTTCCCTTTGAGATTGACAAGTAAAAGAAATGACAACGGCCAACATAATAGCCGTCCAGTGTGACTGAATCAAAATTATACCTATTTTTTTGTCAGATCGGCAAAAAATATAATACTTTTTTTGGTATATCACAGAATTTTAACAATTAGTTTATGTGTGCCATGAGATGAAAAAGATTGAAAACCACTGTATTAGATAATCTCTCCTAAATAGATACCTACACTGAAAATAGGTAAGGGTCGGAAAGGAAGGGGATGAAGGCCTGGGGTCTGACTTTTAGGCATATTCACCTCATGGTCGAGGTGTCCTAGGAATATCTGCTAAACTGAACGGGCATGTGGCCAGGTACCACCAGGGCATCTAATATTCCAAACTCAGTCAAGAGGAGTCAGTGGATTGATATGTGAGGAAGCAAACAGAAAATCTATGTAGTGGACATATCTGTTCGCTGTACCACTTCTCAACTCCTCACTATGTTGGAAAGTACGTTGGAAAGTTTTAAAATGCTAAAAGTTGGGGATCAAAGTGGAAAAAGAGAGTGGCGGGAGGCTGGGTTCGGCGTGTCGGCTGGCCCTGCTGGGGTCGGTGAGGGACGCTGCGGACGGCGGGATGTCGTGGTCCGGCCTTCTCCGGGGCCTCAGCGTGCCCCTGAGCTACAGCCTCGCCCTTGTCCCCCGGCTCTGGGCCACCCGCCCCATGGCCACCCTGAATCAGATGCACCGTCGGGGGCCTCCGAAGTGGCCGCCTCCAAAGCTGGGTCCCACAGAAGGCCGGCCGCAGCTGAAGGGCGTGGTTCTACGCACATTCATTCGTAAACCCAAGAAGCCCAACTCAGCCAACCGCAAGTGCTGCCGCGTGCGGCTCAGCACAGGCCGAGAGGCCGTCTGCTTTATCCCAGGAGAGGGCCACACCCTGCAGGAGCACCATGTTGTGCTTGTGCAAGGCGGACGCACCCAGGACCTGCCTGGTGTCAAGCTCAAGGTTGTGCGTGGCAAGTATGACTGTGGCCATGTGCAGAAGAAGAAGTGACCGCCAGGGGCAGGGTGGGCTGGGGTTTCCGTAGAACAAGAACCTTTGTCTGTGGGTTCCTGCAGTATCCTTGGGAAGCTAGGCTAGTTCTAGAAGCAGCTGGCCCTGGTTCAAATCCTGGCTCCTCTTCCATCAGGACCACCAATAGCCCACCGACATCTTTGGTGTCCATGTGTAGTGTGTTGGTGCAAGAGGCTTCTGCTGGAACTGTACCCTGTTGCCATCTGATGAGAAGGGGTTGCAATAAACACACACACAGACTCTGAAAAAAAAAAAAAAAAAAAAAAAAAAAAAAAAAAGTGGAAAAAGAGATATGTACACAATTTACAAGAAAAATATGTTACTCATGAAATTAATAAACTATTGAATGTCAACTGTAATTGAAAAAAAATTTAAAGATAATATATTATTCATTGGATCTGTTTTTTCACATCTATTTACTGGGTGCCAAATATATATTATGCTAAATTCTGAGGACTCCCTGGGAACCAAGCAGGCATCATCTTCGCTGTATGTAGCCTAGAGCCTAGACAGGAAGAGAGGGTGGAACAAGTATTTCCAGTAGTGTGACCTCATTTTACCTGAATGGCCTCTGTCAAGAGCCAACCTCCAGCCCTGACCGGTTTGGCTCAGTGGATAGAGCGTCGGCCTGCGGACTGAGGGGTCCCAGGTTCGATTCCAGTCAAGGGCATGTACCTCGGTTGCGGGCACATCCCCAGTGGGGGTTGTGCAGGAGGCAGCTCATCGATGTTTCTCTCTCATCGATATTTCTAACTGTTCCTCTCTGTAAAAAGAAAAAAATCAATAAAAAATATATATATAAAATAATAAGACCCAACCTCCAAGTAAAGTCACATGCCGAAGTGCTGGGGGTGAGGACTCTGACTTCCTTTATGGGGGGACACATTCACCCTGACATGAGGTGATCAGCTTTGTGCTTTAGAGAGACCCTCTGACTGCCGTGTGCAGAGTAACCTCTCACTAAACATCTCTGTCAGGAAACGTTGGCGGTCATGGTAACAAGAGACAAGAGGAACTGGACAGTGATCGTGGCAATAATACGGGATGGAAAGAAGTGGGCATTGAGAGGACATTTTAGGAGCGTGTCCCGGTGTTGACCTGGTTATTGAGCTGGGAGAGAGAAGGGTTCTACCTGTGGATGGGGAGGGGGTCCCTTGTCCATCCAAACCCCATCCCATGAGGTGTGCCCATGCGGCCTGCATGAAACTCATGGTCAGCACAGGAAGAGGGACCATTTCCTGGCTCTCTGTGCCCTGGGACCTCACCTCTGTGAGCTGCAGCTCCTCCACCTGCCACACCCCTTCAGTAAGAGCTCAAAGTCCCCACTCACTGATAAGCTGAGCACTCCGTACGCTCTGAGCGTCTGGAGAAGACACCCCTGTGCTTATTTCTGGAGCCATCAGACTTCATCTCTTCTTCCCTGGAAGTTACCTATATAAATGCCTCTGATTGTTGTTTAAGGAAACGTTGGTTGAGGTGCTCCATGGAGAATGCTTGCTGCCTTTCTCCGAAGATCTGCATGGGCCTAGTAGCAGTTAGGTGAAAACTGTCTGCCCTCTGGAATGAAGCACACTGGCTTGTGAATTAAAGTCATTCTCTGAAAATGTGCACATAATCTTAGGATTTAGTCAGACACTCTGGAGGGAATGCTAGACGTCCCCCAATGCATACCCTCCCCTTCCTCTGCGGTAGCGGTAGCCCCAATGAGCCCAGAATAACTCCCACGTTTTCCCGTCACCCTTGCAGCTCGTGTGGCCATGTGACTAAGTGCTGGCCCATGGGATGTTCATGGACTGGGACGTATCTTTAAAGAGAGGGGCAAGTCCTTCCTCTCCTCTTCCCCGCCTGCTGGTTGGAGTGTGGGTGTGTTGGCTGCCGTCTGAGGAGTCCTCCTGCACCCTGAGGTGGAAACTCCTTGCTAAGGATGGAAGAGACAAGGAAGAGGGAACCTGAGCTCTGACCACGGACCCTCCGTTCTGGCCCTGGCCGCCGACATTGATTTGAGAGAGAAATACGTTTCCTTCTTGCTGTGGTAGACAGAGTAAGACCCCACCCCCATAGGAAGATTCCACATCCAACTCCTGGGAACTGTGACCACGTTACCGGACACGGGGACTTTGCAGGTGTGATTAATTTCGGGACCTTGAGATGGGAAGATGGTCCCTGATTACCCTGGTGGGAAAGTGTGATGAAGGGTAATAAGAGGGAGGGAGGAACGTCCGAGACAGAAAAGGGGGCTGTGAGGATGGGGCCGCAGAGGTTGGAGGGATGCGCCTTGCAATGGAAAGGAGCCACCTGGACCGGGCAGCGAACCCGCTGCTCCCTGGAGCCTCCAGAGGGGCTCGGCGTGGCCGAGCCTTGATGTTTAGTTCCAGAAGTCTCCTTTCGGGTTTCTCACCTCTACAACGTTAAAGAAGATAAATCTGTGTTGTTTTAAGCCGCTGAATGTGTGGTGATTTGTGACAGCAGCAATAGGAAACGAACGTACCTGCTGAAGTGACAGGTCCTCTCGTTTCTCACTCTTGCAGCTGACTCCAGTCGGAACTGCACAGGATTCAGCATCCGGAGTGAGGAAACGTCCGACCCGCAGCCTGACCTGCCGTAGCAACTGGACGGCCAGGACTGGGCCGCAGCAGGAGGAATGCGGCCGGCCAGCCGGGCCAGGAGGCATTTGGTGGCAGGTTCCCCGTGTTACTTCAGACGGCACACTCCCTGCTGACCGAGGCTGAGCGTTAGGAAAAAATGGTTGGAAAACTTCAGAATTTGGGGCACATTCAGCTGTTTCCTGCCATTTCCTACAGAGCCGGGGACAGACGTGAAGTGGGGGGAGGCCAGCCAGTCTGTAACAGAGTGGGCAGCATCGCTCCGCCAGGGAAGCTCTGTGCCGGGCGCCTGCAGCGTGGTGGTGGGTGGTCTTGCTGGATTAAACGACCCACTGCGCTCCTACCCCAAGCAAAGGCAGCCTGGGCAGCCGGTATCACTGACTCTCAAAGTTTTACGAAGGGCTTTATATTTCAATTTCTCTGCCAGACAGTCCGGAGGCAAATGCCCATGTCAGGGTGTTACCTTCCTATAGAGCCCTTCATTTCCTAAAACCGGAAGGTAGCGACCAGTGACTTGAAGAGAAGGGGCTGAGGGAGCACAGCGACCAGCAGCTGAAAGACAGACCACTTCAGGCAAAAAAAAAGTCTAGTCGGGGATCTGGGCTCTGGTCCTGAAAATGGAGTAGGGCTGCCAAATACAACACGGGCTGCCCAGTTAAATTTGGGTTTCAGCAAAACAACAAATCGTTTTTTAGGATAAGTATGTCTCAAATATTTTAATTCTCAAGTGTTATTCATCGTTTATCTGAAATTCAGGTTTGACTGGGAATTCGGTGTTTCCTGCTTTTCAATTTGCTAAATCTGGCGAGGGCAGTCATCATGTTGTTAAAAGGACCATGAACTGGCCTGCCAACCAGGCGACCGAACAACCCAGCAAGCACCTCCTCGGCCCCCATGCTGTTCAGGTCCCAAGATGGGTAAACCCTCCAGTACTCACTTCTTTTTATTTTTATCTTAATTTTTTTAAATTGATTTCAAAGAGGAAGGGAGAGAGAGAGATAGAACATCAATGATGAGAGAGAATCATTGATCAGCTGCCTCCTGTACGCCCCACACTGAGGATGAAGCCGGCAAGCCAGGCATGTGCCCTGACCAGGAATCGAACCGTGACCTCCTGGTTCACAGGTCAACGCTCAACCACTGAGCCACACTGGCCGGGCCAGTGCTCGCTTCTGATGTGGCTTTTAAAGATGGGGGACAAGGCCGTCCTCCCTCAGGGCAGCTGGGCAGGTAATGAGCAAGAGATTGTCCCAGAGCCGCAGGTATTCAGATGGGCTGACCACGAAATGCACTGTTGCCAGAGAAGGGGACCCTCACCGTTCCATAGGGTTTGCTCAGTGCTACAGGCCAACATCTGCGGGGTCTCTGCCATGAACCTTCTTTTCAAATGGGAGTTTTTGTTTTCACTGCTCTTTTCCTGCTGCACCACGGTGTGCTGCTCATTTTGAGGTAGATACCTTTTCTTTTAGTTGATGGGTTTCCAGACCGCGAGGAGCCTCTCTGAACCAATGAAGTGCTCTGTACACCGCCCGGGATGCCGGTGTTTGCGCTGCAGGCTGTGGTTACATGGGACCTTGAGGGTGTTGCTCCTGGGAGAGGTATGGCTGCTCCTGGGAGAGGTGGAAGAAAGGCATGGGGATATCTGGGCGGCTGAAGGGCAGGTTGTGCTGAGCTAGTTTGCTGTTCTCTACCAGCTCCCCCTTCTACAGAAGAATATCTTGATTGCAGCATGCTGGGATGTCACAGGAGTTACGTTTGTTCAGATATCGGTACCTTTGCTTTCGGGGCAGGCAGGGGAGTCCTGGAGCACGTGGAGCCTCAGGCCACACGCAGCCTTGTCCTCTTGCTCCTGTGTGTCATTGTGAGGACATGGTTGGGATGTGGTGCGTTAGTGAGCACAGTCTACATAAAACCACTCTCACTTCTGGGACCAATTACAGGTTCAGGGGAATCCCCAAACCATTCTAGTTTCAATCATTTGCTGGAAAGACTCACAGAAATCACGGAAGACTATTGTACCCGGGATTATCATTTATCAGCAAAAGAATACAGCTTATAATCAGTCCAGGGAAGACTCACAGAGGGCAGAGTCCAGGAAAACCCCCGACGCGGAGCTTCCATTTTCCTCCTTGTGGAGTCGGACAGTGTTGCTCTCCTGCCAACCAGGGGAGCTCACCCCAGCTTGGAGTCCAGAGTTTTATTGGGGCCCCATCATGTCGTAATGCTCACTTCCCACATGGCTGACCTCAGTCTAGAGCCCTCTTGAAGCTGGACTAATCCCACATGACCCAAAGCCCCCACATAGGTCACCCTCAGCCACATAGACTTCCTGCCATGGCCAGCCTCCAATGTAAACAAAGACGCCTATCGAGCATGGCAACCTATCTGAAGCTGAAGGCAAAGTCCAGGCTTCTCCTTGGGCAAGGTTAAATTCCTTACTCCACACATGCATGCATCCACAATAATAGAATCCCAATTTTTTTTTTAAATATTTTATTGACTTTTTACAGAGAGGAAGGGAAAGTGATAGAGAGTTGGAAACATCGATGAGAGAGAAACATTGATCAGCTGCCTCCTGCACACCCCCCCCCCCCCACTGGGGATGTGCCCGCAACCAAGGTACATGCCCTTGACCGGAATCGAACCCGGGACCCTTTAGTCCGCAGGCCAGTGCTCTATCCACTGAGCCAAACTGGTCAGGGCAGAATCCCAATTTTTAACTGAGCACAGAGCACTCAGAATTCAGAACCCCAACCTCCCATGCATGTGGTTGTGACTATGTGACTAGATTCTAGGCCAGGAGATGTAGTGGAGGTGGTGTTTGCCACCTTTCAGAGTTTCTGTCCTTCAGTGGAGGGGCTTGTCCCCCTTCTTTTTTCTTGCTGCCTCAATGGGGCTTGAGGAGCTGTCTTGGCCCCTGCAGTGAAGTTGCATGTTCAGGATGGTGAGCAACAAGGTAGCAGGAGCCTGGGTTTCTCGTGATTGAGGCACCTATCATACAGATGTTTGGAGAAAACGTTTAAATCATGTTTCAGCCTCTATTCCTTTGGATTTTCTGTCCTTTGCAACAGGATCTAATTTCAACATTTGCTTCAAACTTACTTTTCTATAGCTTACTTCCAGATTTGTAAAACTCTTTGCGCACAAGATTCCATCATTAATCCAACTCACCTTCACATTATCAGACCTTTCCTGGTCATTGCCTCTCTGTGGGAACTCTTGCTTCACTAGAACACTGGCCTTTGTCCCAAGCCTTTATCATATCCAAGTTTTTTATTTTCTATTTTGGGCTGAGGCATGACGGCAGGAAGGGCTGTTTTCTGATTATATAATTATCATCTTTCCATGGCTAATTGATTGGAGAGTTGACTGAACTTTATACCTAAGTTTTATATCTATACCTTCAGGTCAATTTTCTTGATTCCCCTTTTTAAAATTGACAAACAGATATTTGTTTAATCAAAATAAAGATTTATAGATCTTTCTAAGACCTGATATTTGAATTTTATCCACATTTTATCAAAATGTACCCAGGTTCTTTATGCCTACCTCATTGCTTTACAACAGATCAACAGAAAGCAGGATAAACACTAAATCTTTTATATTTATGTTTTTTGACATTTTGTCATCTTTTGTTTTTTATAAAAACTTTACTACAGCTTTTGTAAATATCTAAGAAATTAATCATTAAAACACAAAAGATGAGCAAATACTACTTTGTACATTATGAAGATGGGGATCTTATCCTTCCTTCACTTTGCAGCAGCAGGCATCGTGCGACCTGTCACCAACCTCCTGGCTTGTCGGTGTTGGAACTGGAGGTTGGAAGAGTATGAGAGAGATGACCCTAAAACCCAAAGTCTCACTTCTCATTTGCCTACCTTAATGACTTGCTTTCTCCTTTTCATGGTAGAATATATGTATTAAATAGGTATAAATGTGTTTAAAATATGAAAGTTAATTTTCTCATTACTACACAGTCAAAATCAATGTTTAAAACGTCAACCTGTATCAGTGACGTGTTTCTTACTTTGTTTTATTACAAAGCCATGGAAAGAAAGGTGGTCCAACGCCTGAAAAACGGAAGTCATGAAGTCTTAGGCGGGTGACCTAATAATGACCATGAGACAAGGGTCGGCCAGGGATTTGTGTCCTCAGTGAAAAAGGCCGTATGGAGTTTTCTTGCCGAACGGACCGCAAGAACTTATTGACACAGGGTCTTCCTTTTCCAAATGGAATAACTGAGTCCTGGGGAATCAAAGTCATGCTAAAGGTCACCCTGCTACTTAGCAGCAAAGCCAGAATCAGCACCCAGGTGGCTCTGGCTCCTGGGGCAGGCTCTTTCAGAACATCCGGTGTCCCCCCTCAGACAGGCCCAAGGTCAAAATGCGAGGCCCCTGGAGCTGCAGACGGGTTTCGATCGCTCAGAAAGCAGTTGGATCCAGCTGACTCGTGCTCTTCTGGTTGGAAAGAAACTTGCGTTCTGGCGAAGCAGGGGATTTCTGTCTCCGAGAGGATGCCAGCGCGGTTTCTTCTGCCAAACCAACCGAAGAAAGGACATGGGGGTCTCCGGAGTTCAGCAGCAGACGCAAGCCACCTCAGAACAACACTGCGTTCCCGTCTCCTTTTAGGTCGTACATTCCTTGAGGATGACGGTTAGTCGACTCCGCACCTCGCCCCTAGCACACAGTTGGTGCAGACATTGCTTCTGAATGAATGAGGCGTATAAATCATCGCTTTATACCCTGGCATTGGGCCCTTTTCAAAGAAGCAATAAACGTGTCGAATTTCCTGTGCTGTCAGAAACATTGTTTAATCATCCTGTTAAAAATAAAGGACTCCAGGCTGGCTGAGCAAATTCTCCAGCCACTAGATGCTCTTTCCTCTTTGGGCCGCTCAGCTGTGCAGCCGGAAATGGGTGGTGGGAGAGGAGCTGGGCATCTGCGAAGACCCGGGAATGCTGGCTATGTCGGAAAGTGTTTGGAGAATGCCTCGGAAGCGGAGGAAGTATTTGTAGAGCAATCCACGCACAAAGATACTCGAACCAGAGAAAATGCCCTCAAAATAGATGCGTGGGGCACATTCACAGACTGTCACATTTTCACCACGTTTAGGTGCCACAGCCTACCGTGTGCCTGAGCAGCACGTGTGTGCCACAGACGATAGGTAAGCTTGTAAGACGATAGGTCACATATTTTTACATTGATCTTCTTATGGTAAAATACATATAAAATTGTGGTTACCTAATAAATGGCACTAGCATCTTTCAGGAAAAAGCCTTGCATGGATAATTATATCTTTTTTTAAAAGACATGCAATGTGTTTTTTTTTCACTGAAAAATAGGTGCCGTTAGTTGAAATCGCGAGCTGAGTGTTGAACCAGCACTGAGAAAGCTACCCTCTCATCTCGCCCCCAGCCTACGCTATGGTTTCTTCTCCACGGCCAGCAGAGACCGCGAGAAATGGTCCAGCGTTGGAGTGTCTGGCTGTAGGAAAGTTCCAACCATCCAGTGGGAAAACACGTTGTTTCAGAGAGTTAAGAGCAAACCAAGCCCCGGCTGGGTGGCTCCACTGTTTGGAGCATCGTCCCGTGCACCAAAAGGTTGTGGGTTCGATTCTCAGTCAAGGCACATACCTAGGTTGCAGGTTTGATCTCTGGTCAGAGTGGGAGGCAAGTGATCGATGTTTCTCTCTCATATTGATGTTTCTCTCTCTCTCTCTCTCTCTCTCTCTCTCTCATCAACTTTTAAAAAAACGAACACATATTCTTGGGTGAGGATTTAAAAAAAAGAGAGAGCAAACTAAGACCGTGAAAGGATCCGCGCAGGGGACTACTACTCAGCAAGATAAAGGAGCGAACTGCTGGTTACTCCGCAGCCTGGTGGGCCTCAGGGAAATTTCACGGAGTGAAAGCAGCCGGACAGAGACTGCACAGGGAATGATTCCATTTATAGGAAGCTTCCAGAAAAGGCAGACCTGCCTGGGGCTGCAGGTGGGAGCAGGGAGTGACTGCACGTGGCTAAAGGGAGCTTTTGGGGTGGATGGAAGTGCTGGGAACAGAATTCATTCATAATGTTTACGTAAATATATAAGTTCACTCAAACTCATTGCACCATTGCAGTGGGTGAGTTTATGGTATGTACGTTATACCTCAATAAAGCTGTTTTACTTTTTTTTTAGGCTCAAGTATCCTTATCTTTTAAAATATTTAAAATTTTATTTTTCAATTACAGCTCACATTCAATATTATTTTGTATTAGTTTCAGGTGCACAACATAGTGGTTAGATAATGATATGCTTTACAAAGTGTCCCCACCGCCCTCCCCCCACTATTTCAGTACCCACCTGGCACCATACATGGTTATTACAGCGTTACTGACTATTCCCTATGCTGTATTTTCCCTACAGCTGTATTCGTGTGACTATTCTGTAACTACCAATTTGTATTTCCTAATCCTTTTTCACCCAGACCCCCACCCTCCTCCCCTCTGGCAACAATCAGTCTGTTCTCTGTATCTATGAGTCTGTTTCTTTTTTATTTTTTTCTTTAGATTCCACATATAAGTGAAATCACATGGTATTTGTCTTTCTCTGACTGACTATTTCACTTAGCATAATACTCTCTAGGTCCATCCATGCTGTCACAAATGCCGAGATTTCGTTCTTTTCACGGCTGAGTAATATTCCATTATGTTTATGCCCCACAGCTGGTTTACCCACTCCTTCATGGACAGGCACTTGGCTGCTGCCATGCCCTGCTGTTGTAAGTACCGCTGCAGTGCACATGAGGGTGCATATATCCTTTCAAATGAGTGTTTTGGGTTTCTTTGGATAGAATAAAACTTTTTTGTTTAAAGAAATTTAAAAAAGCAGTTCTTCCAGGACCAGCCCACGGTCGCCTTGCTCAGCAGGCGCCTCCCCTGTCTGATTCAGGGCAGCCGTGACACCTTCCTTGTGCGCAGCCTCATCCCAGCACAGAGCTGTGATGTACAAAGCTAAACACTGTTAGAGCAAAGCAGCTTGTGAGGTTTCAAAAATTAGGATTTACCATTTGTAGACATAACTTATTATATTAGTCAACTCACGGTGCCAGTGCCGTGTTCAAGAATATTAGCCGTTAGATTGAGGGAAACAGGCCGCTCCCCTAATTTGGAAAGAGAGACGGTGGCGTGACTGGAACCCAGGAGAGCATCGTGAGCTTTTCTTGCACCAGGCAGCTGTCCGGGGCAGCTCCCGGGGCAGGAGGAGGGGTATTTAGGGTGTGGACCGAAATGCCTTCACTAACAACTGTGGCAGGCTGGCTCACACCGCCGCCACCACGGTGCGGGCACACTGCCTTCGGAAAATGCGTCTTGGTCAAAGGCGAGAGTGCCCGGAACACTCGGGTCAGCTGGACTAGCGCTTCTGTCCACAGCAAGTGGTTCTCGAACTTGGGTGCCATCGAAATCTCCTGTTTGTTAAAGAGGCAGATTCCCAGGCCAGGTCTCAAGGCTACAGAATCGAATGCCTGGGAGCAAGGGCCAGAGCCTGGATCTTTAAGGAGCCACCGAGGTGACTGCTACCCTAACGGTCCTCAAAACTCGGTTTAGGGAACTCTGGATAAAGAGGAAAGAAGAAACGGGGCAGGGGGAATTGTTGAGAAAAAGAGAGAAATGAGGGAGGGACGGGAGGGAGGGGGAGAGAGAGAGGAAAGGGAGCGCCCCCCGCGAACATACCTTGTCAGCAGGCCTTGAGTAGGCGCCTCAGCTGAATTCAGTGTAGGTTCCTTCTGAACTTGGTCTCACCCGCATCTCACACCCGGCCTTTATCCTGACCTGCCTCTTGGCCTGGCTTTCTTGTAGAGGACCCAGGCGGTAGAGGGACCCAGGTCGTTTCTCTAAGGGTCCTCTCTCGCCCACACCCCCCCCCCACCAGGGGACAGGGGACAGACAGGACTGAGCCGGAGGAGAAGGAGGCCTTTGCTCACGGGACGCAGGTGGCTTCTCAGGTTGGGAACCTGCAGGGGAGTCTTAGTGCTAAGCCCTGCGTGGGGAAGGGGGTGGGGCGGGAGGCAGAGCTGGTGGAGTTGACAGCCCAGCTCCACTGTGTGGGAATTCAGCCGTCCTCCTGCCTTAGACACGCTCTCCTTCCCATCCTCCTTGGCGGGAACCCACCCATGAGCAGTGCCCTTGGCTTTGTCCGGGAGGTTCTGCCCACTCACCACACCCCATGGGCAAGCCACTGGCAGCCGCGTCTGTAACGTGGTACCCACCCCCAGCCCCCCAGTCACTGATTGCCCCGAGAGTGGACGTGTGACCCAGTCTACAAACGGGCAATCACAACTAAGATGCCCCATCTGGTGCTAGTTTCTCATACGGAGAAGTAGAGAAAATGCGTTGTTTTTCTCTACTCATGAGGACTGGGCACCCTGGAAACCTGGGTGAGAGAGGAGAGTTGGGGGGGCGGGCAGGGTGCCTCTGGGGTGACTGCGCTCCCTCCCCAGGTCAGTCCCCTCTGGGGCCCTGCCTTCCTGGGCGACAGTCCCATGGAACACTCCAGTGCTGGCGGGAAAGGGTCCTGGGTGGCTGTTAGCCCAGCCCTGACCCACAGTCGGCCCCTTTGCCCATCTCTGTCTTGTTTTAATCCCATCCCTTCCTCCTGCAGACAGGAGGCGGCTGCATTGCCTCCTTATGGTGCGAAATGAGCTTTCCTCAAAACCTGATCTGGTTTGAATTACTATAAAATAATATGTGACTGTATCAGAAATTATGAAATTAATACTCGTTTTTAGGTGTAAAAGTGGAACTGTGGATGTGTTATATTTAAAAGAGCCCTGTGTTTTAGAATTATATGTTAAAATATTTACACGTGAAATGATATGATGTCAGGATTTGCTTCTAAACAATACTGGAGGTTGCCTGGCCAGGGTAGCTCAGTGGTTGAGCATCGACCTTTGAACCAGGAGGTCATGGTTCAATTCCCGGTCAGGGCACAGGCCCGGGTTGAGGGCTCAATCCCCAATATGAGCTGTGCAGGAGGCAGCCAATCAGTAATTCTTTGTCATTATTAATGTTTCCCTCTCTCCCTCTTTCTTCTTCTCTGAAATCAAGAAAAAATTTTAAAAATTAAAAAAAATAGCCAAAACCGGTTTGGCTCGTTGGATAGAGCATTGGCCTGCGGACTGAAAGGTCCCAGGTTTGATTCCGGTCAAGGGCATATACCTGGGTTGCGGGCACATCCCCAGTGGGAGATGTGCGGGAGGCAGCTGGTCGGTGTTTCTCTCTCATCGATGTTTCTAAATCTCTATCCCTCTCCCCTCCTCTCTGTAAAAAATCAATAAAATATATATTATAAAAAAAAAATTAAAAAAAATAATACTGGAGGGCAGGAAGTGGGTGAGGGCAGGGGTGAAGCAAGGTTGACTTTGAGTTGATAAGTGTGAGTCTGGATGACTGGGTTTCATTGTACTAGAGTAGACTATCTACTTGGTATTTGTATAAAATTTTCCATCACAAAAAATTGTAAAAATACCGGTGGGAATTTTTGCAGGGGAATCCCTCTGAAATAACATGAAACAACCAAAATGTAAAAGGCTTTTAGGAGAGATTGTAAAGGCAGCTACCCCTAATGGGAGTGGGTCTCGTGCAGCTCACGGCTAGTGTGTGGACAAGAACATGCCAGGTGTATGTGTTCCCCTTCCCCTGAATGAAAATAGCAGCTTGGGGTTGTTCAATTCACCTCTGATGACACAATCCCAGATAAAATATTCTAAGATCTATAGCTTTTTATAAATAATAAAAAACAACAACTCATGCCCTAGCTGGTTTGGCTCAGTGGATAGAGCATCAGACTAAAGGCTCTCTATTCCAGCCAAGGGCACATGCTTGGTTGTGGGTTCCATCACCAGTGAAGGGTGTGCAGGATATATATATAAACTCACAAAAACATTTAACTAGGTCCTTAGTAGTTTTTATTTTATTACATACTAGAGGCCCATTGCAGGAAGATTCCTGCAAGAATAGAGCTTCCTGCAGCCGGAGCGAAGCAGAGAAGGGAGCAAAACCCGCCAAAGTGGGCTTCCCTCCCGCCTCCGCCGCCCCGCTTGCTTCTCCGCAGCTTCGCTCCCTTCTGCAGCACTTCGCTTCCTTCTATGTTGTCTTCAGTCTTCGTTCAGCGCCTGCGTATGCAAATTAACAGCCATCTTTGTTGGGTTAATTTGCATACTCATCTGATTGGCTGGTGGGTGTAGTGGAGTGACACCAATTTGCATGTTTCTCTTTTATTAGTGTAGCCTAGATGCCTGGTGCATGGATTTGTGCACTGGTAGAGTCCCTTGGCATAGCCTGTGGGGATCGGGCCGGAAACTGGCAGTCCAACACCACCTGCCACTCCTGCCTGCCTCTCCTGCTCTTCCCGGCCCCACGGCACCTGCCACCACCACTGCTTGGTAGGCTCACTGCTGCTCCATGGCGGCCTCTGGCTGCGGTGGCCAGCCATGAGCCCTGCGTCTGACACCTGTTGGTCAGCTGAGTGGCACTCCCACTGTGGGAGCACACTGACCACAGGGGGCAGCTCTCGTGTTGAGCGTTTGCCCCTGGTGATCAGTGTGTGTCATAGCGACAGGTTGATCGGTTGTTCGGTTGCTTAGGCTTTCCTATATATAGATTAATTGGTAGAGTTAAGA